AARRRRAWTTTTTTAAAAAAATATTTATTTTTTTAGTTTTCGGCGGACACAACATCTTTGTTTGTATGTGGTGCTGAGGATGGAACCTGGGCCACATACACGCCAGGCGAGAGTGCTACCACTTGAGCCACATCCCCAGCCCCAGAGGTCAAGTTTTTTAAAAATATATTTGACTATTGACCATAGTCATCCATAACTGGTCACTAAATTTTTCTTTGCCTTTCTAGTCTCTTGGGAAGGCTGTCTTGAAGAAGTTCAGTTAGGAATAAAGATTTTAGTTTTTAAATATGTATAAATACATTTATATTTAATTGGTTTTCCTTTAATTTTGCAATTATATATGGTTATTATAAAATAAGCAATACGTATGTAAAATGCAAAAGTTCCCATAGGTCCTATTCTTTTTATTTAACTTTGTTGCTGTAACCACTTGCATACATTTTGCTTTTCAAGCCAATTTTATGGCTCTTGCTTAATTTTAATAACTATAATCTCACTTTATCACAGCAACCCTATGAAATAGGATGGGAATTATCATGCTATACATGAGAACATAGATAAATTATTTACTCAGAAATAGGAAATGGATCTTCTGATTGTTTATCCACTGATCTTCCACTAGACCAGTGAGTTTCCTTCTTTTCGAGATTGAGCACCCCCTTTAAACTTAATGAATTTAAAAAATATTTTTAGGCTTTCCCTAGTCATTACTTTTACTTTCCTTGTTGGTTTGTTTGTTTGTTTGTTTGTTTTGTTGTTGTTATTTGGTATTGGTACTGAGGATCAAACCCAGGTCTCAGCAAGCACTTCTCTACTGAGCTAAAGCTATACCTTTAGCCCAACTTCTGCTTTTGGTATCTATTACTTAAGGCGAAAAAGGAGAAATGACAAGAACTTGTTCTACATTTAGTAACTCTTATAAACACTTGCATTTTTTAACCAAAATTCGTTTATCTATATTTCCAAAAAAGTGTTACATATATATGTACTTATATATTTACTTATTTTACCTACAGGTAATCCTAATGTCCCCTAGGAGTTGCAGTCTCTTACAGTAATATCACTGTTTCCCTGTTGCCAAAGGTTTGAAGCACTTGGGAARCACCATTTTGCTTTTAAAATTCATGTTTCCATTGTAAAATGCAGAAATGCCAGACCATAATGTAGTCTCTTATAATCTAAGTACAGGCATAGTTATGTACACTTAAAATTGTATGAATATGGGAATCAAATTTTAACTTTAAAACTTTTTTAAAACAGATTATTGAAAAGGCAGCTGAGATTGCAAGCAGTGATAGTGCTAATGTAGCAGTAAGTATCAAGAGTTTTAAATGACTGTCTTCTTATAGAATTGTATGCATTATTTTGTACCTTCATCTCATTTATGGTAGTGAACTTGTGGAAGACCATAACTCATATGCAAGAACAGTATGTGAGTGTGGGTAAGTATGCATATACTGAATTTTATTAAATGGCAGCTCAGTTTGTGGACCATCGGTGCACTGTTACTAAGCCATTTTGCAATGTAAGTGCAGGTTCAGCCATCTCTAAGGGATGTTGTTGCACCTTGGAGATTAACAGTACTCTTAGTGAATGTTACTCATTTGAACAAGGAGACTGTTATCTTTGTGAAACAAAGCAAGTGTTATAAGGACAAGAAAGTGGTGTGAAGATCTATATGTCTTCCATTTTGAAATTCTGCCATGTTTAGCATACAGTTCCCATTTCATAATTTAACATTTCTGCTCTAGCTTCCTACTTTGCTATGATACAGGCTTCAGGAGCACAAAAGTGAGACTAGAGGCCATGCCCCAGTCTTATTTAGAGGATATTGTTAGTATGTTTTCATTTCTGCTCCCATCTCATTGGCCAGATCTCACAACTATAACCAAACTGCAAGCCAGATTGGGAAATGCAGTTTTTAACTGGGCCATCAGATGCATGGCTAAAAGTAAGCCATCCCATTACAGGAAAAAGTAACAGAATGGATCTTAAAGTTTTTTAATTTTATAACTTAAGACTTTGTTTGAACTCTGTCCTAATRTTCACGTTTCTTGGTCTCACATAACAACTTTTAAGTGTCTTCAGCAAAACCCTTTTACACATAGAATATTAATGATATAGAGTCTAAGAAGCTAAATAGAGATAATTATGTATGTTTTTCTCATTCTCAGAGTATCAAAGCACTGCTTGATGTTTACTAGTTGGAGGGGTATCTGGCCTAGGCTCTTTTCTGCTTTGCCATGAAATCTCTCAGAATCTCACAGTGCAAGTCCCCTTTTACTACTTCCATATTAATGTCTCTTAGCTTAAATTTTGTCTTTTGAATATTAATGCTTGACCCAAGAAGGTGGATCACGAGTACCAGTTTAGAAAGGCTCTGGGTCAGGTTGGGACTTCAGGATCTGAGTCCTGCCTGCCCCCTCATCTTTTTTCCCCTATCATTTTTGTGTTCTAAGAGTTGCTGGAAAGAAAAACAAAAGCAAAAAAAAAAAAAAAAAGGAAGGTTAAAAGTACCAAAAGTTTAATACTAGTATACACTTACCAACTTGTCAGGTAATTATTAAAACAGGTCATTAAGTTAAGTCTTGGTTCTAATGCCTCTTTAGTATCCATGTGTTACACTAAATATTGCTCCTTGAACCTCAGAGACTTGAATTAATTTTCACTATTTCTGCCACAGTCTTGTACCTTACTTAATCAGAGGGTTCCCTGAATACTGATTTTAGTAATCTTATTCAGATCTTTGGGTGTGTGTGTGTGTGTGTGTGTGTGTGTGTACACACACATACATACACACACACCAAAAAAATAAATAAATAAATTTAGGTACACAGTACAATTAAGAAATAGACCAAAAATGAAAGTCTCTATCTATAACCTCTGTGTGTTCTTCTCTCCAGAGCTGTATAAAGAGTTCAGTTTGTAGTTACCAATATTAAGTTTAGTGTAAATGTCTTTATTTTCCTCCATTTTAAGAAGTGAGATCATTTTTATATAGTTTTATCTTTTTTATTTAATACAGTTTGTGGATATGTTAGCATGAATAGGTCTTCATTTTTCACATACTTCAATATTTTGTAGTTATATTCATTAGTAACCATTAGTTATTCAACATACATATTCCTATTCATGGATGTTTTGCTTATTTTCAGCTTTTCTCTATTAAAACGTCTGCAATGATTATTTTGTACATACTGCTTCATACATCTGTTTATTTTGTAGGATCAATTCCTAGAAGTACTTTCATTATGTTGGTTTTTCTTGACTAGTGAGAGACTTCCTGATTGTCTGCCTGTAATGTGTCTTAAGTAACTGTAGGAATTAGAGTATCCCAAATGAGAGGACTTCTATGCATTCTGGAATCAGTTGACTTCCTAGGGCTCAATACCCATGCTTCTCACCTAAATCTGGAATTGATACCATAGCTATTCCATCTTRGCACCGAAAGAGAAAGGAGCATGCTTGACTATCTACAGTCCCATAGTGGTCCTCTTTGTGATTGCCAGTGGCTCCCTCCCACTCCTTGAATGCCTTGATTCTGAGCTAGAGCTCCCTAAGGATTGTGTGCATAGCATTCTCACTACTACATGGGTTTAGAATATCTGATCTCTTGTCCTGTCTGCATTCAGCATTCTCTCCTTAAAAATTTCTGGTGTCAGGCACTCTTTGTCATTTCTTAGGGCTCTTTTTAGCTATTATTTTCAAAACGACATGTTTTATACTTTATGCCCCCCCCAACCCTGGTGCTGAGTATAGTCTACAGTTTGTGCTCACTGGGCAAGCACATTACCACTGGGCTACATCCCCAGTGCCACTATTTAGGCTTGTGGATGAGAGGATGAAGAGAACTGTGTTTTCATGGCATTATACACATATGTACATGTATGTATACACACAAACACATATGTATGAAGAGCAGGTTAAGTTCCTTAATAAGATGATGGTAGTTTCATTTATTGAATTATGTATATATATGGTTAATTGGATCTATGCAAATTTATCATCACCTTATTAAGGTATTTAACCTGATTTTGACCTGCCCCTCCTCCCTCCAAGGCCTTTCAGTGTTGTTTGGGTTGACTTCAAACTCCTGGGCTCAGATGATCCTCCTGTTCACCTTCATCCTCCCTGTCTTCTTTTTTTCAGTATATTGGGAAGGAAAATAGGTTTTTTCCCCCCTCAGTTTGTTGAGTGTGTGTGTGTGTGTGTGTGTGTGTGTGTGTGTGTGTGCGCGTGCGCGCGCGCACGTGCGTGCATGCACGCATTGTGTGGAATTCATTGTTAAATATTTTTACAAGCACACAGTATCATATTTAGTTTTAGCCAACATTGTTTTGTTTTGGGGAAGTTGTTGCGTTGTTGAGGATTGAAACCCAGATCTTACACGTGCTACATATGCACTTTATCACTGAGCTGCACCCAAACCCTAACAGAAAGTTCTTCATTTAAAGAGATTTTGAGCACAGGTAACATCTATTTATTACTTTTATTTTTTTACCTTATACATTTGGGTCATCTTAAATTCTGTTAAAATAATGAGTAACTTGGTTTTTAACCGAAACGCACTCCTGCCACCTAGCGTTTGCACATAGATTTTTTTAAATGTTATTCTTTTTTTCCTTTTTTAGAGCTACTTTGATTCTTCATGTTTAGCTTATAAATTTAACATTGAGCAATTAAAACTTTTTAAATGAATCCACTTTTATTTTTTATCCACTTGTATCTTTTTAKGGAATTATGTATTTGTATTTCACATTATAAGTGCGTATAAACTCGTATATAGAGTTGCTGAATGTTTGCCAGTGATATTTGCATAATTAAATTCTGTAATGAGTATTTTACTCCTGTAGAGTCGAGGTGGAAAAAAGTTTCTTGCTGTACTGAAAGAAATCTTGGACAGGGATCCCTTGTCACAGCTGTGTGAGAATGAAATGGATCTTATTTGGACTTTGCGTCAAGACTGCAGAGAGAATTTCCCACAGTCACTGCCAAAATTACTCCTATCGATCAAGTGGAATAAACTTGAAGATGTCGCTCAGGTAACAAAATGTCATTTCTGTAGCTCCTTTTAGGTACATATGTTTCTTTGTTAATTTTATATAAAGTGTCCTTTCCTTATAGGTTGATTTCCATATGTTGGATAATTTTTCCTCAGGAGAAATTTTGAAGTTTTAAACTTTAAGTCCCCTGGTCCATCCTTATATATTGGACCAGAAAGTTTCAAGGTTTAAAAATCCCAGATTCTAGATAGAGTTGCTGTATCTTTCGCTAAAGACAACYAAAACATTGGTTTTGGGTAGTCACCTATGAAAAGAAGCACTTTCTAGGTCTTGGGCACCTTTGCCAGTTTCTTCAGTGAACCCCTATGTGTGAATGAATGTATGTATGTATTTTGTGTTGCTGGGGATCAAACCAGAAGTGCTTTACACCTGAGCAATATGCCCAGCCTTTTACTTTTTTTTTTTCACTCTAAGACAGTGAAAAATAAAAGCTGGCCTGGAACTTGCAATCACTGGATTATAGGAATGTGCCACCAAATCCAGCTGACTGCTCTAAAATGAATATTGTTTGAAAATTACCACTATCATGGGAGTTAATTTAGCTCTATTGTAGAAGTTGATGTTAAACCATTCAATTCAATCTTAACATTCACATGTATGGGTAGTATTGATAAATATGTAACTTTAAACATAGATAAATATGTCATTCAGGCAGAATAGAGAAGGGGAAAATGTTTTGCTCTTGAAAAGCAGCCACATTTGGGCTCCCTGATATAATTATCAAGACTGTCAAAAAGTACCCTAAGCTAGGCACGGTTGTGTACGCCTATAATCCCAACTGCGTAGGAGTCTGAGGCAGGAAGATGGGAGAGTTCAAAGCCAGCCTCAGCAAAAGTGAGGCACTAAGCAATTTAGAGACCATGTCTCTAAATGAAATGCAAAATAGGGCTGGAGATGTGGCTCAGCAGTCAAGTGCCCCTGAATTCAATCCCCAATATCTCCTCCCACAGACAAAAAAGGCACTTTAAAGTCATATGGCCCCCAATGCTCAATAGAAAGAAACTTGAAGTGATTTTTTAAATSAGAACAAATAAATTTGCCTATTTGAAAAATGAAATTTGTTTATTTTCTTTGAATGTAACTGATTTCTCTAGCTCTGTGATCTCAGTGTATCATAATGGCTTTAAAATTTTAGTGAAAAATACATATACAAAAAAATACAAAAAATACATTTTTGTTTGCTTTAACTAGGGAAAAGAACACAAAATTTATTAAATACCTAAGGAATGGTAGTATTAGATTCCAAAAATGGTATTTTAATTTTAATCATATTATTGGGGGGGGGGGTTATGAGAGATTTGTCCCAGGGACAGTTTACTACAGAGCTATATCCCTAGTCCATCCATCTTCCTCCCTCCCTCCCTCCCTCCCTCCCTCCCTCCCTCCCTCCCTTCCTTCCTTCCTTCCTTCCTTCCTTCCTTCCTTCCTTCCTTCCTTCCTTTTTTGATACCAGGGATTGAACTCAATGGCATTCAACCATTGAGCCACATCCCCAGCCCTATTTTGTATTTTATTTAAAGACAGGGTTTCACTGAGTTGTTTAGTGCCTCGCTTTTGCTGAGGCTGGCTTTGAACTTGGCATCCTCCTGTCTCAGCCTCCAGYGAGCTGCTGGGATTACAGGCATGCGCCATCGCGCCCCTCCCTTCTTTAAATTTTGAGACAGTGTCTCACTAAGTTGCTGAGGCTGGCCTGTAACTTTCTGTCCTCTTGTGAGCTTCAGAGTCACTAGAGTTACAGGTGTATGCTACCATGCCCAGTTTAATCATATTTATTTTTAAAGTCTTTAGTTTTGTTTTACTACTTTTATTAAACGTAGAAATGTTTTCTTTTCAGTTTACTTCTAGCATCTAAAGGTTTTTTTGAATGATATAATTACATTATTGTACATGCCTTTATTAGAGTGTTTCTAGATTAGACAAAATTAACATTATTTAATCTGAAAAGGAACTATTTTACATTATTTAGATAGCTTTAATTGCTCCAGAATCACTGTTGCCTTCTAACCACTTGTCTAAATTCAAGGCTAATTTTCTTTCTTTTTTTTAATACATWTTTTTTTTTTAGTTGTCAATAGACCTTTTTTTAAAAAAAAAATGTGATGCTGAGAATCAAACCCAATGCCTCACACATGCTAGGCAAGTATTCTACCACTGAACCACAACCCCAGCCCTGAAGGTTAATTTTCTTTGAATCCCACTAATGGTGGAAAATAAGATCTAAGCCTTTTTTTTCTTTAAGTTTGCACATTTACTTATGTCTCATGGATAGTGTCTTGGGCTATGTATATATATCCAAGAAATGAATCATATTATTTCATTAGAATCACAATAGGAAAAGTTTCTATACTCCTTTTTTGTTTGTTTTTGCTTTTTTGATAGTGCTGGGGATGGAACCCAGGGCCTTGTATGTGTGCCACTGAGCTATACTCCTAGCTCCTCTTGATGTACTCTTCAAATGTCTTATAGAGAGGTTTCATGTATCAACTCTCAAAAATGAAATGAACTAGTTTATGCTTAGTATTCATTTGACCTCTAGGGACAGACATTTTTACATTCCGGAATTTAGCATRCTTGTCTTGATTCCTAAGAGGAAGTGTGAAGCATTGTTTTGAGATGTGACTTAAGTTCCTCCCATTTTGGTAGAAGAAAGCCAGCAGTGTAGTTTAATAGTTGAGTATTAACTGTGTGTAAGCAAGTATAGAAAAGTATAATTTTATAACCCTGTGCCCATTTTTAGTAGATAAAAGTGTGAATAGAATAAGAAAGAATGAGTTTTGGTTCCTTCCCCAACCAAAAGAATATAAACTATTTTCTTAGTAAATCTAACACCTTGAGAAGTGGAGAGTCAGAAGAAGCGTGGAAAAGGGCTTCATTATATTAATTATGATTTAAACATGTTATGATCAATATAAAGTTTTGTAAATGATCTTTTTCTTTGAATTAAGGACTGTATTCTAGGGCTGGGGATGTGGCTCAAGTAGTAGCGTGCTTGCCATGCGTGCGGCCCGGGTTCGATCCCAGCACCACATACAAACAAAGATGTTGTGTTTGCCGAAAACTAAAAAATAAATATTAAAAAATCCCCCCCCCTCTCTAAAAATATTTTAAAAAGGACTGTATTCTAAACAATAGTTCTGCACCAGTGTCGATTTTGTAAAGTGATATTTTTTAAAATTAAGAGTTAAACATAAATTTCTTTTTTAGTTTTATATTATTAGTAGTAAACTTCTTAAATGTAAATTGCCTTTCATTAGTTTGAGTTTTGCAGCTTATATTTGTTAATGATTTTAGAATCCATATATTCAATGTCTTATTTCTTATTCAATTTTCAGGTAAGTACTAAATAGTTTTTTGTTTGTTTTTTAAACTTAATTATAGAATATTTTGAGATCAATCTTTGTTAGTTCATATAACCAGGATAGATTTTTGGTGCATTAATAGTTGACCCATATGTGTGCTCCAGTATGCCAAAGGAAAGTACATTGCTTTTATCCTCCATTATTTCTGAACCAGTTTCAATTTTTAAACAGCTTCAGGCACTGCTTCAGATATGGCCTAAACTTTCTCCTCGAGATGCTCTGGAGCTTTTGGATTTCAACTATCCGGATCAGTACGTTCGGGAATATGCTGTGGGCTGCCTGCGACAGATGAGGTATCTCTTATAGGTGGCTTTCTTTGGGGCAAGGACTAACTTGAGGGTGGGTAGTTAAGAGCATGCCTCTTTGAATTTCTCATTATAAAGAAGGCCAGCCAGATGTGGGGGGTGCGTATGTGTAATTACAGCTACTTGAGAGGCTGAGGCAGGAGGATTGCAAGTTTGAGGTCAGCCTGGGCAACTTAGTGTGGCCCTATCTCAAAATAAGAAGGGGTAGGGTGTGGCTTAGCATCAGAGTGCTTGCCTACTAAGTGTGAGGCAAGGAAGAATGGAGAGAAGGAGGGAAGGAAGGAATCAAGGAAAACTTGAGAGTTGTTGGCTGCTGCTTTTATAAGTACTATCAGCCTACCATGTCCCAAATTTCTAGACTCCCCAAAGGAAACAGTGCAGCACAGACCACACAACACAAAGAATTTAGGTGTATCAAGCCACTAGGTGGTAGAAACCTTTCTGGAGTGTTAATACCCAAATGCCAACCATAGACCAGGTACATGTAAACAGGCTTTTCAAAGGATAGCAGAGAAGGACGTTGTAACTCTTCTTYACTATCACACAGTCTAATACCCAAAATTAAGATATTATGTTACTATCTTATAACAGGTGTTTAAAAAAATGTGGGGTTTTTTTGTTTTGTTTTGTTTTTAAGGCTAATATAATATAGTTAAAGTTGATGTCCTTGTTTTCTGGCCCAGTTTTTATTATTTCAGTCCTTTCCTAGAGACAACTTATCGTGAATTTGATGTATCCTCCTATATCAGTTTTTTGTTTCTTCCTACATATTTAAATGTATAAAGTTACATATAAAATAATAGGGTACATTTTAAATTACATGAATGTGGTTTTTGTTTTTGTTTTTGTTTTGAGACAGAGTCTCAACTGTGTTGTCCATGCAAGCCCTGAATTCCTGGGCTCAAATAATCCTCTATCTCAGCTTCCTAAATGTCTGGGTCTGTAGGAACTCATCATTGTACCGTGCCATATATATTGTCCTATATATTGTTTTTTAAAATTTTAACATTAGGTTTTTGAGGTTAGTCTCTTCTGTTATATATAAATGTAGTTTATGGGCTGKGGATGTGGCTCAAACGGGAACGCGCTTGCCTGGCATACAYGGGGCGCTGGGTTCAATCCTCAGCACCACATAAAATAAAAATAAAAATGTTGTGTCTGCCGAAAACTGAAAAATAAATAAAAAATAAATAAATAAATGTAATTTATTCTTTTTGCCACTGTATATTTGCTACTGTGTAAGAGGGATATCTTATTTATAATTTATTATCCTATTAAGGAAAATTATTGTTTCTCCAAATTTCCTTCTTATAAATAGAGCTGCAGTGAACATGTGCAGTCCCCTTTGGACAGTATATATGTGAGAATCTATAGAATTGAGGAAAGAACAGTCTCAGTGGGGAGTTTCAGGTTTAGTATATGAGGCTTATGTATTGTGTGGTTATTTGAAAATTAAAAGCTCTCAGAACAATATATCCTTTTTCTTCTTTTTAAAATCAGGTACGTTTAAAACAATGTGTGAAATACAAAAAAARTTAAACTCTTCTATAGTTGTTATTTCTGGGGAGTTAATTTAGATATATAAGAGAAGCTGCCTACTTTTATTGGTGTGTGTGTTGGGAATGTAGCCCAGTCCTACATCTCCAGTCCTCCTTATTTTTTATTTTCAGACAGGATCTCACTATGTTGCTGAAACTGGTCTCAAATGTGTGATCCTCCTACTTTAGCCTACCAAATTTCTGGGAAATACGGGTTCACTGCCTAACATTACCTTCTGTTTTTAACTCCCCCCCCCTTTTTTATTATTACTTGTAAGTTTTATAATAGGCAGAGATTTTGCAATAAACCTAATTAAGATTGTGGTATAGATAATTTTTTAAAATGAAGCTCCCATCTAAGTTTGGATTGGAGAACTGATGGGGAGAAGCCAACTGGTTCTCCTTGGGCTGGACCAAGTGTTTTTCTTAAATGCATTGGTTTCCCTCAGAAGATTGCTATGATCCCCATGTAGCCAATTCTGATGGATTTTTGTGTGTTGAAATTCATAATTATGGGTTTTATTTTTGTCATTTTTAAATTTTTTATTCTAATTTGTTATATATGAGAGCAGAATGCATTACAATTTATATTACACATTTAGAGCACAATTTTCATATCTCTGGTTGTATACAAAGTATATTCACACCATTTGTATCTTCATACATGTTTTTGTCACTYAATACTCTGGGTTTCAGTCCCATATCTTCCTTAGCCTCCTTTCTTTAGTCATTTATTGTCGAAGACTATAGTCAATAATTGGAAAACTTTGATTCATACCTTCATTACTTTAGAAATTGCCTCTAATGGGAGTGTGTTTACAGTGAATAGTTTGGAGATAAGACACCAACTAGAGAACCACTAACTCAGCCCTGTTAATGATGGTATTCTCATTATAATTCAGCAAATCAATATAGTCCCCACTTAGAAATGCCTTCATTTCCTTATTCTTCAAATTATTTGAAGTTAAGATTTTAATTGTTTGTTTCTCCGAAGAAGGAATTACTTAACCCTAATTCTAGGAAAGGAAACTAAATTGCTAAAGTACTGATGAAATTTTTGTTTTAAAATGATTGCTTGAGGAGCTGGTGTTGTAGCTCAGTGATAGAGCGCTTGCCTAGCATGTGTGAGGTACTGGGTTTGATCCTCAGCAACATATAAAAATAAATAAATAAACAAAATTATTGTGTCTGTCGACAACTAAAAAAATTTTTTTAATATTATTTTAGTTGTGGACAGACACAATACCTTTATTTTATTTGTTTGCTTTTTTAATGTAGTGCTGGGGATCAAACCCAGTGCCTCACGCATGCTAGACAAGCATTCTACCACTGAACCACTATCCCAGCCCCCTAAAATAATATTTTTTTTTTAAAAAAAAATTATTGCTTGCTTAAATATCTAAGATTTTTAGCATGATCAGAAATCAGTAGTAACAGAGTACCTAACTCTTGGAAACTCTTGGCTAATTTTAAATRTAATCATGAATTGTAAAAAGCTAATTCATTTGATAGAAATGTCCCTGTACCTGTTCCTTGATCCTTTCCACTCTCCCACCCCTATCTGAACTCCTAAACTTTCCTTGAGCTATTGTAACTGTGGTACAGGGAATTGAACATGTAACAAGCCTGACCCAGAAGACCCGTGTGTGTCAGTAAGTTAGCATTCAACAGTTATATAGGAAAGGATCTTTTTCTGGCACAACTGGTTGAGTTACTTTGTCTTTTCTCTCTTTCTTTCAGTGATGAGGAACTTTCTCAATATCTTTTACAACTGGTGCAAGTTTTAAAATATGAGCCTTTTCTTGATTGTGCCCTCTCTAGATTCCTATTAGAAAGGGCACTTGCTAATCGGAGGATAGGGCAGTTTCTSTTTTGGCATCTTAGGTAAGTCTATTGTATTTTTCATTTTGAACCTATGTGTGCTTTAGTAAATATATAAGACATTTAGTGGAATGTTCAGTTGCTGTAATTTTTTCTGTATCATCTGTATAGCATTTACACTGTTTTGGTGCCTTCTCATGTTGCTTGATACCCAGACTCTTCATTTAGCAAGGTAATTCACATAAGTGTCCCTTGAGGCCTGCATGATTTTTAACAGAAATTARTACATAATGTATTTCTATTTTCCAGTAAAATGTACTTATGTCTTAACATGTTTCGGCTAAATGCAGGCKTATTTATTCCTTCCAAAAGGTTAGGGATGGTATTAGCATGACTCCTGTTATTGAATGAAGATAGAATTTTATTATAAYAATAGCAATTTTTAATTTCAGTTTYTCTGTTAACTTAGTCATTTCAGAAATACATGAGCCTATTTCACCAAACTCATATAAGACTAAAATAAGGAATGAGAACCAAAGTTGCGCTTGTGTTTCCTAGAAAAATTATAKATTTTCTCATTTCTTATTTGGTACTCAAGATATTTTGGTTTTTTCATCCAAACTTTAGACTGTTGAAAATTTAGATTATCAGAGAGGGAAAAAAAAAAGATACCTTTATTTCTTCCTTTTGGCTAAGCTTCTTAAAATATTATGACCTCTATAATATTATATTATTAATTTTAGTGTTTTGTTTCTGAATACTGGTATTCTTATTGATAGATTTTTTTTAACTTTTCTCATCTAATTCAATCTTTTTTTTTTAAACCCTCAGGGAGTGACAAGATTAAGTATTCTTTTTTTTCAGATATACATGCTATTCTTTAAGTGAGGAAAAAAATTGAATAGATTTAATTCAGGCTTTAGTCAATTGCATGATGATAAGTCAAATTTCATAGACCTGTATTTCAACTTAACTGTCTTTAACTTGGTAAGACTGATTATTACCTTTCCCCCTCAAAAAGTAAATCAATCTGGTACAATGTGAAAATTTTAGATTTCTTGGAATAAAGAATTAACTAATAAAATCTCATGTCTTRTTGAACTCGTGAAGTTTAACAAATTGGAAAGTTGACCATCTCACTAGTAATTATGCCTGAGATGAGGAGTACTTTTTTTTGGTTGACATCATAAGTCTATTTCCCAGAATAGAGAAGTCAGTATTTTTATTTGGTCACTTGAAGTGTTTGATAAACCATTCGGATATTAACTTTTCTGCAGATCAGAGGTGCACATTCCTGCCGTCTCGGTACAGTTTGGTGTGATCCTTGAAGCGTACTGTCGAGGAAGCGTAGGCCACATGAAAGTGCTTTCCAAGCAGGTATCAATTGTGTTTTAATATTTATTCAATTTGGTACATAATGTTTGATGTATTTTATCTATTTCATTTTTCTGCCACCACATTATTTCATAGAAATCTCAGTAACTTAATCCAATTAATATATTCTTTCATGAAAATTTAAGTTATGTGAAGTTCCCACATACTTAGCAGAAAAACATTAACCAAATGCTACATGCAACATAATAAGCCAGAATTCCTCATTTTTTTTTTCTGGATAGCAAATTTTATTAAATTTTTAAATGAATTTAATGCAAAGTTAAGGAAATTTATCCACTGGGGAAGAGGAGGTAAAATTATAGGCAACCTGAAATAAAAAAAAAAATATTATGATTTAGTTTGTCCCTATCCCCACTCCCCCTGATTAAATTTACCCAATTTTCAATCAGTTTTATGGCACAAATGTTTTAAATTATTTTCAAGTCTATCTTATAAACAGTTCAAGGGAAGTTATTTCCTATTCCTTGACTAATTTGACCGGCATTCCTGAAAATTATTTTGAGTKTTATTCTGAATTATGTTAATGTGTGTTGAATTCAGCTCTGTGTTTGATATCCTCATATTTTCTATATTAATAGCATGCCTTACTCAAGCTGTGGCACGCTCGCCTGGCATGCATGCGGCCTGGGTTCGATCCTCAGCACCACATACCAACAAAGATGTTGTGTCCGCCGAGAACTAAAAAATAAATACTAAAAAAAATTCTCTCCCTCCCTCCCTCCCTCTCTCTCTCTCTCTCTCTCTCTCTAAAAATAAAAAAAATAAAAAAAAAAGCATGCCTTAAATTTTAATACAATATTGCTATTTAGATCTAGTTAACAAAGGGTATGATGGTGATAGTAACAGTGGCTGTGAAATCTTTAAACTTTGTTTTTGCACATTCCTGAGTTACTATTTCCACTTGGTAAAGTGTGGTTCATAAACTTTGTCACATCTTTTGGATTGAGATATTTTGAGACACAAGTCTATGGGTATTATAATTTCTATAATTCAGAATCCTCAAAGTTACTTTTTCAAACTCTATGTATATATCTGGAATTGTGGTTTTCTCTTGCAGTCCTGAGATATTACTAATAATATTACTGTAAGTTTTTACATATGCCAAGAACCACACCATGTATTTTAAGTGTGTTATTTTATTTTACTCTAATAATGGCCAGAGTAGTTACAATAAAATTCTCATTTGTCAGAGAGAGAAACAGACTTCTTTTGCTTTAAAATTGGTAGTTATTTATTAAATAACAAAATTGTTTTGAACTTGAGTCTGTCTAGCTATATAAAGCTAAAGTTCTTTGTATTATGCTGAGTTTTCAGACTTTTTTTTAGCAATACAACTCTTTTCTTTTAATTTTTAATTAATTGCTAAGAAAGTCAGTTTCCTGAGCCAGTATGTTGAAGTGTTGGGCCTACATTTTCTTCTAGTATGTGCAAGRTTTCTGGTCTAATTCCTAGGTCTTTGATCCAGTTAGAGTTGATTTTTGTGCAGGATGAGAGGTAGCAGTTAACTTTCATTCTGTTACATAGGGATTTCCAGTTTTCCCAGCACCATCTTTTTCTTGTGTCTTTGTATTCTGTCTTACTAAACAAAATCATTTCAATATGGGGGTCATTTTTGACAGTTGCAGTCTCAGTATCCAGTTTACTCCTAAATTTGTTTTGAAGGTAATCCTGACTTACATAGCTAAGTAATTTCAAGTTGAATTGGGTTGTGTTTGGGAATCACCATACCCACCATTTCCAAGTCCCTAATGGTGGCATTAATTTCTTCATTCTCTGTGAGCATTGCTTTTTACTTATTATTTTCCTCATAGAGACAGTTCTAAAGGCCCCCCTATCCTTTCTTAACCATAACAGCTCTCACTCCACAATTGGAAATTCTGCCAGCTGTAGAACATATCTGTTCCAATTATGCATTCAGAAGCTGGGGAGATGACAGAATGAGTTTGGCAATCTCTACTGTGAGATGGTCCTGAGCTACAATTCCATTGATGCCTGAGCTCATAAGTCCTTACCCTGACTGGTGCACTATAATGACATTTTGGATCTCCTGAAATTAGTATTAATTCAGAGCGAGTGTCCAGTAGTCTCAAAAGTCTGATTATTTATTTATTTTCAATGCACAGTTACTTTGGTAAAAGGTCATAGGTCCTTTTGTGAAAGGCTTGACAAGAGAGTCTATAGTTCTTAGAGAATTTAGGAGCATTCATAGGTGTCATCAGTACTGATGCAAATATTGGGGGAATTTGTAGCTTCATTGTGGCTAGGTTTGTGGGCACAAGTTGGAAGTGAATCCTGAAGGCTTACTGCCTGTTTACTTATTCTTGTGATGGACTATGTATCAGGTCACAAACTGTACATGACTAGTAAATATCAGAGTACTTTCATCTTGCTGATATATTCTAAACCCAATATATTCAATCCACTTTGCTGAAATCTTCTATAGTATTGAAGTCTTTTTCAGATTTTGCTTTCTGGTGCATCATTTTTACCTTGTGCAAAGGCTCTCCTACTCAGTTAGCTCTTACAGACTGTTTATCTCACGTAAAGGCCTTTTATTTCATCCCTCATCTTTCATTCATTCCTATACCTCTGTGGGCTCTACCCTATTTTTATATCAGATCTGTTTAGTTGTTAAATTATGCTATACTTTTTCTTAGTCATTTGCATTGCCAGAGAAATTCTAATGGATCTTTATTAGATRTTTTAATACTCAGAAATTTTCTTGATGCTAAAACAACTATCTCTGATCCTGTCCTTTTGGAAAGTATATTGTTGATGGGAATAATGCTAACATTGATTTATCACTTATTATAGGACATTTATTCTTCATAACAAGATGGGGATAATTTTATCAATCCCTTTAATTYTATAGATCTCTTAAGTATATGTCACATCTGTATCTTTTATGTTCATGACTATAGTCCTAATGTAATCGATTATCCTCTCATTAGGACTTCATTAAACTCCTAAATTGGGCCTCTTGTTCCCCATTCTTGTATTTCTCCCCTCACATTTTTTGTGCAATTGATAAAGTGATTTTATTGCAAATTGTGTTATATCATTTTCTTTTTTAAATATCTACAATAATTTTTCATTATACTTAATAAAAATTTTCTACCAAAGCCTGTAAGGTCCCACTGGGTCCCTTCTTATTTGACCTCATAAAACTATTGTCTTCCTCATTGATAGATCAAACCATACTGTATATTTTCTTCATTTTCTGAGACCTTCAACCTGACTTTTATAAACAACAGAGGTATCTTTTCTTGACTGATAAATTTTAAGAGGAAAAGCATAGCCTTTACATGGCAGTTCTTGTTATTACTATAAACCTGTAAACTGATCATGTGTTGAAACACTTAAAATATTTGACTTTGGCCATTCAAGACACTGTTCCAGGAAATGAATATCACACAACTAGAGATGAGGCATAAAAATTCCCAACTGTACAAATGTGGAAGAAATTCAAGTTTGAAATATTTCAAAAAGTTCCTTTTTGCAAAAACAAACAAACAACAACAAAAAACCTGTTTTTGTTGTTGCTGTTGTTTTGTTTTTTGGTACTAGGGATTGAACTCAGAGACATCCTACCACTGAGCCACATCCCCAGCCCTATTTTGTGTTTTATTTAGAGACAGGGTCTGAGTTGCTTTAGTGCTGAGGCTGGCTTTGAACTTGTGATCCTCCTGCCTCAGCCTCTGGAGCCACTGAGCCTGGCAAGAGCCCAGTTTTCATCTGGTTCCCTCATCACCAGTATTTGTATAGCTCCTGAAATAATTGAGAAGTGGAGTGTCTATGCTTTTGACAAATGGCTAACTTGGTCAGCTTTAACAGTCTTGGTTTTATCATTATGCTACATGGGACCTTTTTAGTTCTCTATGAACAAGGTCTCCGTAGAAAGTGGATGCTTAAATTCACACTTCTACATAGTTTTAGTGGTTTTCTTGCATGGAAGACAAGTTTAAAAATGAAAACTTTTGTTCATGGAATTTCAAGCTCCTGGGTTTTCCTTCTCCTTCCTTCCTTCCTTCTTTTTCTCTTCCTCCGCTTCTCCTTCCCCTCTGTACCTGACCTCCCTCCTTTCATACTGGGAATTAAATCCAGGAGTGCTCTACCACAGAGTTACATCTTCAGCCTTTTTTTTTTTGAACCAGGAATTATACCCAGGGGTGCTTAGCTACTGAGACACATCACCTGTCTCAACCCTTTTAATTTTTATTTTGAGACAGGGTCTTACTAAGTTGCATAGGGCCTCGCTAAGTTGCTGAGGCTGGCTTTGAAACTGTGATCCTCCTGCCTCAGCCTCCTAAGCCACTGGGATTACAGGTATGCACGTCCACGCCTGGCTCCAGCCATTTTGTGAGACAACGTCTTGCTAAATTGCTGAGACTAGTCTAGAATTCGCAGTCCTCCTGCCTCAGCCTCCTGAATCACAGGCACATGCCACTACACTTGCCTCATAATGCTTGTTTTACTCATATTTTTATTTTTTGTTATATATTATTTGTTTTTTTCCATTTTTTAATAATATACTTATAAAACAAAATGCTTTCTGATTTATGGTTGACTGAAGCTGTTATATTCTTATGAATTTTATATAATATAACTTAAAAGACCTCAATTATTAACCCATTAAGTTCCAAGTTTTCATTTCTACAAATATTTCAACAAAATGACACAAATGCATTAAAATAGGTTGGTCATCACAATCTACAGCTYATATTAATTAATGTTATAATTATATCCTTATGAACAATTATATTCTACATTATATTTCAGTTTTTATAGGTCTTCTACATCTGGGACAGTGAGACAGAATGGGTTAAACAGTAAAGTTGACTTTTAAACATAATAGTTTCTGTTGATTTGGTCATTGTTGATCCGCCTTGTAATGCTTGCAAAAGTTTATTTGCATAAGTTTTGATAGCCAGTTACCTCATCATGAAAACAAGAAACTTAGACTTGGACAACAAATACTTTTTACACAGTAATCTATCTATATATCCTGTTAATGGAGGGACAGTATTCTGAGAAGATGTCATACAAGAGCATGACAAAATAGATATTAATGTTGAATATCAGAAACCTCAGGATTACTTTTACACAGGTTTTCCTCTTATATTGTGGTGTAGACCAAGTGGAGTAGTTCAGATTGGAGGCATTTCAAATTCTGTTACTTGGTGAAGGTGTGAGTTGTTTCAGGTCATGCTTATCTTCTTAAATACCCACTGTCTGTGGCTGTTTACTTTCTCCTAATTTATAAGTTTTCATTTGAGAAAAGAGTTACAGAATGTTTTAAAATTATGCCTTAAGTAAACAATACTAAAAATCAGTTTTTTATTTTATTATGTGTAATGATTTGTCATAAACCAAACATGATATGTGTGTTATTGATTAATGTGATCACATGGTATTACATTATATTATTTTAACCACAAGTAAATTTTGGGCCTGGGGAAATTTATATTTCAGGTCGAAGCTCTCAACAAGTTAAAAACTTTAAATAGTTTAATCAAACTGAATGCAATGAAGCTAAACAGAGCTAAAGGGAAGGAAGCTATGCACACTTGTTTAAAACAGAATGCTTACCGGGAAGCCCTCTCTGACCTGCAGTCACCTTTGAATCCATGTGTCATCCTCTCAGAACTCTAGTAAGTGATCTCCTACATTTTGCACAATGAGTCTCCCATGAAAATTTCAGTGCAGAAAGGATTTCTGAACATTGCCTTGTGGGTGTAGTAGGGCCAATTTGAGCCCCAGAAAGTGGATATGATTACAGAAAATATTAAAAGTCCTCATAGACTGTGCTTGTATTCAGTAGAATACGTACCTAACAGCTCAGTTTACTTTGGGGTTAATAAGAGTTATTACAAGTTAATTTCCTTTCAGTCGCATTTAATTAAAAGTCATTTTCTACATTACTGTTTTTTTAAGAGTTAAAAATTTCACATGAGCAAAATCTTGGAAACCACAATAAATTATTTGGTAATTTACTTTTCTTTTTTAAAATGAAATCTTGAATGAATTTGGAAACTGATTTCTCACTTTCTCATTCACACAAAGGTAATAATGGAAAAATAATACTGTATATTCAATATAATTGTATTCAAAATCCATTCCTCTTTAAGAAATCAAGAGTGATCTCACAATATTTTTAACTTTAATCCAGTGGTATGTTCTAATTTTTTAGAAATAAAGTTAAGGAGATATAAGGAGAAATTTTCAGCAGAAGCAGTGAGAAGGACAGTTCCTGGGTGTTTGAGTCTAGTCCACCTAGTGCTGGTTATGCCAATCAGTGTTTTCCTTGCAGTTCCTTTTTTTACTGAAAGTTGCCTAGCTCTGACTTTTGCAGACCTTCAAGAGGACAAGCAAGGGATTTTCCTGCAAAAATATAGTCTGGTCATATTGTTACACTGAAGTAGGCTGATTTTTCCTTTGATTGATTTCAGTGTTGAAAAGTGCAAATACATGGATTCCAAAATGAAGCCTTTGTGGCTAGTGTACAACAACAAGGTATTTGGTGAGGATTCAGTTGGAGTGATTTTTAAAAATGGTGATGGTAAGTACAGAGGTTTTTACAGTGCCAAATTGCTTAGAGTTTTCTATTTATTGCTAAACTTGCTTTATTTGAGAGATGTGTATAAGTTTATGACAATTGGCACCTGAAAAATAGCTATCACTGGTTGTAAAGTCAGATTCAACAGGTCCTAAATATTCCCCGACCCCTGCTTTTTTTGGGAAAATGACTTCTATAATTCATTTACATTTACTGTCTAATAAACCTCTTTTTCTCCTCCTACAAAATACAAAATCTGTCTACTCCTTGATAAAAGCTTGTAAAATACAAGAGAATATTTCAGTAATGTAGTCACATATTCTATTTCAGTGATAGCAATATTGATTTTACTGCTATAGATTTGTATTTTAATAAGATATATGACTGACCAAGATTTGATAAAGAAAATGGTTGTGAAGGAATTGTGCCAACCAAAAGGCAGTCATGTCTTCATAGTTGTGAGACTRTAAGCAAATCCTGTGCAACTCATTGAGCTTCAGGTCTTCGTATGAATCCTGACAATTATAGAATCTTTATGCCAGAGTTGTTTAAGGAAATTAATGAGATGACATAAGTAAGCATGCTTATCATAAGATGTACTTACAACTTCTTTATAAAGAATTCAGAGGGCTGGGGATGTGGCTCAAGCTGTAGCGMGCTCGCCTGGCATGCGTGCAGCCCAGGTTTGATCCTCAGCACCAATACAAACAAAGATGTTGTGTCTGCCGAAAACTCAAAAATAAATATTGAAATTCTCTCTCTCTCTCTCTTAAAAAAAAAAAAAACAAACTTGCAGCTGACTGGCACCTGATCCCTCAACCTAAAGGGTCAGCTGCAAGTTTCTTAAAAAAAAAACAAAAAAAACTCAGAGTGTTTTTGCTAGACTTTAACCACACTTAACATACAAATAATTAGCAACAACAACAACAAAAAACACTTGTGATTACTTTCACATAGTCACATAGTACTCTTGGGCATGCTAATAAATATGTCCAACTATTAGTTTTTTGGGCCCATAATACAGTTACTACTTGTATGATTTATAAGAACTTCTTGTACTACCCTAAAAGCAAATGAGCAATATAGTAGAATATGAATGCAATGTGACACAAACAATTGTTCTTTTGTTTGTTTTGGGGGAATTTGGGGGATTGAATGCAGGGTAACTTTAACACTGAGTACACCCCCAGTTTTTTGTGTGTGTTTCATTTTTTATTTTCAGTCAGGTTCCCACTAAGTTGCTGAGGCTGGCCTCAAATTTGTGATCCTTYTTCCTCAGCTTCCTGAGTTGCTGAGATTATGGGTGTGCACCACTGTGCCCAGCTTAATACAATTTTACAGCATCCATACAATTAGCACAGTAATTTATAAGTGGTAAACAATTTTAAAATTATTTTTATTTAATGATAGAAATGTTATAGGGACATGCTAATCAATGAGCCTATTTTATTAGTGATGTGGTCAACACTAAAATTCTATTTTTAAAAAGCATCGCTTTTTTTCTAAWGATTTTAGTTAAATCTGATTGAATTACCTAATGTTGAATTAATGAGTTGGTAGGCATAAAATGGAAAGCATTTATAACTGAGTTTTCCCCTTAGATTTACGACAGGATATGTTAACACTCCAAATGCTGCGTTTGATGGATTTACTCTGGAAAGAAGCTGGTCTGGATCTTCGGTGAGATTTCTAGTGAATTTATTTTTTATCTTTTGTTTTCTTCCCAGCAAAATTTCTTAAACTTCATGATGATTCCTTCCCTCCTGCTATATTAATTGTTGCTTGTTAATATAGCACTTTACAGGTACTTTCAAATACATTCTCTTATTTAAACCAYATCAGATTTAAAACTATATATGGCCTGAGATTTCAGAAAAAAGGGCAGGTTTAGACTTCAGGAAGGCTTGGACAGAGAGCAAGAATCACATTTCAACCAATGGTTTGAAATTCTTTTTTAAAAATATGTGAAACAGTTGCTATTTATTGACTGAATCAGGCATTGTATTAGACTCTTCACATATTTAATGTCATGTAAACTTTAAAATTATAAGATTGTGTAATTCCTTTTTAACACATGAAAAAATTAAGGCAATAGAGATTTTTTTWAAAAAATTTACAAAAAATATTAAGTAGCAGAGTCAGACTATTCACTCTGAGCTTACTGTCTTTCTATTATTTTAACAGTCATCCAAATGAGAAAAAATTGTGGTAAGACACGTCCAGTAACTCTTTTTTTAAATATTTTTATTAGTTGTTGATGGATACTTATTTATTTATTTATATGTGGTGCTGAGATTCGAACCCAGTGCCTCACACATGCTAGACAAGAGCTCTACCACTGAGCCACAACCTCAGCCCCTGTCCAGTAACTCTTTATCAAAGTATTATGGTGCCCCAGATAGCTAAAAAAGGAAAAGAGTTTCCTGTTTTTGGAACTTTGCAGAATATACTTTTCCAGTTCTGTTAAGATGGAAAGAGCAGTTTGCTCTGGTTACTTTTCCTTTCATCAGTCTATAAATGAGATTAGAATAAGGATGAGAGATCATAATACATCCAAAAAGGACCCTCTGGTTACCTTAAGTGACATACTCTTGGCCTTAAATTAGGACGTATTTCTAAATAGCTCTGTTTTAAAAACAAAATCAGTAGCTATGAATAGTTAAGAAGTTTTTGTTCAATACTGCATAGGTAAGAGGGATGGATCATTTAAGAAACTCTCTGCAAGGGTGTCAAACAGAGGGTTTGAAATTTTATTTGTAAATAAAATGTTGACACATTAAAATACTGACACATAGCCATTTGTAGCTGCTTTTGTGCTGAAACAGTAGTTGTCTGCAATGCCTAAATACTATCTGATGCATGCTAACATGAGTTTACTGACTCTTCCTATATAAAAGAAAACCCTAAGCAAATGTTTTTACTAAYTGAGTTCACAAAAAGGAGAGAAACTTTACACATAGACTTGGTAACTTATTTGTTCTTCCCAGAATCAGCACATAGGCTATACAGTGATTCCCTCTGCCGATAACAGATTCTGTGCGTATGATTGGTCTTTTTGAGTTGTGAAAGACTGAACTGATGACTTTATCCTAGCTTTCTTAGTTCCATAAGCCTAACTGAAAACTCCAACCCACCTCTTTTCTCTTAGTTTCAGTTTTGTCCAAATGAAAAAGCACATTTTGCATCAAATGAAGTACTTTTTGACCTCAGATAAAGGGAGGCAGCCACATGTAAGAATGCCAGAAATAAACTAGTGGCTGTCTGATGGGAAACATTGTGTGTCTAACAAGAAAAAGGAACTTATCTGTCCAGTGGGATCTTTTCTGACTTTCTGTCCTCTGACCCCATGTTTTAAAAAAATATATGAAAGGCTTTAATTCTTTTTTAGTTCATTTTCAAACTAATGTCTTTTTCTCACCAAAACTTTTTTACTGTTTCTATAAATATATGTGCTCCAGTGTTCCTATTGTGTTTGTTTTTCTTTTAGCCAGCTGTTCAGGTTAAACTGGGTCATGTAGCACACACTCTTTTAAGTTCAATTCCAAATCTTTGGATACCCTTCATACATTACTATTTTAGTACTTGTAACAGTACCATGTTTGCATAAATGAAAAATCTATATTGCTCATTTAAAATTTTCTCTGCTGTCTCATAATACTATTTTGCTATCTTTTATGTCAAATTATAACATAAGCTATCAGTATGTTGAGATATCTTAACCTCCTTATATCTTGACAACACTTAATCTTAGCCAAAAGGCTAAGAARCAATCCTTTGGTCAACAAATGACCTTTTCTTTGAAGTCTGATAGGCTGTCTACATGTAGATCCATTTGACCTTCGGGAGATTTAACAATGCTCTGTATACCTGCCTTCCTATGCTACACATAAAATCTATTTTTTATGGTTGTGTCCAAGTTTATTTCTGAGTTGCACTAATGGAGTTTACTTCCCTTTTAAGAGACCCATGCAGAAGTTACATATAAGATATTTAATGATCAGTCTCAGAGGGGTGAAGGAAGGATATGAAAATAATGTAAACATGAGGTAAAAAATTTACACTTTCCTCCTTCAGAGGCAGTGAGCTATAAGGTACTACTCAAGATTTGGGTCAGTGTGTTGAGTCAAGACCAAAGAAGACTTGGTACATATCTATTAAGTAAAGATATGAATCTGCCATCCTCACTGCTCTAGAATTCATTTCATTTTGTAATTCTTGCTTTAATTTGAAAATTAACACATTGCTCCTTGGGTCAAATTATGAGAAAGGAAGGTAAACATTACTGAAAGTGCTGTCATGGCCTTTACAAGAAGTGTAGAAGTTCATTGCAAAGGAGGCCTAGATAAGATGATCAGGGTTCCAAGAGTTTGTCCCCAGCTTGACTTATGTCAAACTGTCTCTCTGACAAGGATGTTTTTTCCTTCCGGTTGTGAATGTTCCATCTCAAGGCACTGAGTGCTTTCATCATTGCCGGCTTTTGAAGAGGAAGTTATTGGACTTGTGCCCTATTTTGTTGCAAGTGGGGCAGGAGGAGATGCAGGAAAGTGTGAAAGTGCACTTTAACCTGACAGTGTTTGCTTTACATGTGTTGTGTCATGATAAGGATAAGGGTGTCAGTAAAAATATYAGTGCTCCAAAGTTGCCTTTCTTATTTGGAGGTAATATTTTTTAAGGAGAAATAAATGAATAATGCAGGTGTAAAACAGTCCATTGGTATATCAAGTCAACCAGCATGTAATTTGACAGTTTTGGCTTTCATCCTTATTTTGTTAGACTAGCAAAGTGCTAGAAGAGGTATAAAATAATTGAATTTTTCTTTGGAAGGAATTTTAGAAAGTCTCCTTTTTAATCTGATTGTTAACTTGCTAATATACTCATACACTCCCTCCCCCCAACCCCACCTCTTCTCCCTTTGCATAAAGTCCAGAAGGTTTTCCAGGAGAGTGACAGAAGTCCTTATAGGCCCCTACAGTGCCTACATGGTCTTCTAACATTTACTCTGTCCTTTCTTCACTCCTCTCTCATGCTCCCCCCTCATACTCTGCTCCAGCCTTCCTGTCTTCACTCTTCATGGAGATCTTTCTTAACTCTTGCTGTGTTTTCCTGGTACTYCTCCCTCATACAGAGATCACATGCATATTGTGCATTTGTGCTTTTAAGTTCAGTGAGAGTAGGGATTGCTTATTTCTGAATCACCATTTGACATCTGAGACATTGTTTGACACATAGCTGCACCCAACTATTTATTAAACCCATAAATCCTGTTCATAGCATTTCTATAGTACCTGATCTTTAGTTGAACCTTCCAATGTATCTCTTGCCAGTTTTCAAGTTGTTATTATAGTTTTTTTAAATGTAGAGAAAATACTTGCAACCAAAATGAGAAAAACACATTAATATACATAAAGCTCATATAAATCACTAAGAAAAATGTTTAGAATTCTAATAAATAGGCAAAGGATATAAATGGTTAATTCACAAAAAAAATTCTTCTTGTTTTTTTTATGTGGTGCTGAGGATTCAACCCAGGGTCTCATGCATSCTAGGCAAGCACTCTGCCACTGTGCTACAGCCCCAGCCCAATAATAAATTCTTCTTAAAATGGCCAAAAGAGAAAAATTTTATCTTTAGCAGGAATCAAATAAGAACAAATCAAAGCAAAATGTGGGCTGGGTTGTGGCTCAGAGATAAAGCGCTCACCTAGCATGTGTGAGGCACTGGGTTCGATCCTCAGCACCACATTAAAAAAAAAAAAAAGATATTGTATCCACCTATAATTTAAAAATAAATTTTAAAAAAATGCAGGAATTTGTCAAATCGAATCCTGTTGGTGAAGAAATCCTTAAAAAAAAAAAAGCAAAGTGCTACTTATGAATTTGGCAAAAATTATTTTAATCAATAATCTAAAATATTTCTTAGTGTGTGGTATTGGTAGCCACTCTGGATGTCTAGCTAATAAAAATATCAAGTCTCATCTTCCTGACAGACTATCAGCCTTTTCTACCWTTTCAATCACCTCTTTTCAGTTAAAGTTTGTCTCTAAGGAGTTCATAATCCTGCAGGGGAGGTAAAATTTCAATTCAGGAAATAACGAAGTCAGCATGCAGACCTGTTGGCTTCACATTTGGTGCTGTCATTTAATAATCCATTCAGTTGCTGTAAAACATGTAGCAGTTCTTCATTCACTTTATTCTCCCTATGTATTTTTATTTACACAGAAATARTCTGTTACTCTGGAGATTGTGTTAGGTTAAAAAGATAGTTTCAGAGCTGCACAGACCCAGTTTTAACTCTCAGATCTTACACGTTAGTTAAATTTGTGATTTGGGGCAGGTTACTTACATTCCTCATTTGTAAAATTGGGAACWTACTTCATAAGGATTTTGTTATTAAATGTGCTTAATGATTTACAAATATTTATTGAGCATCTGTTCTGTGCCAGGCATATTTTCAGTCACCGAGGATACTGTAGTGAGTAATAAGACATCCCTGCCTGATAAACTTATATCCTAATGGTGGATACAGATAAATAAGTAAAATGTACAGGATGTTGGATAGTGTTGAGGTGTATACAGAAGAATAAAGCAAGGAAGGAATAGTGGATATTGGTCAAGGATAGTGTATTTTAARTAGGATGATCCAGGAAGTTCTCACTGAAAAGTTGATATTTCAGGAGCGATTTCCTAGAATTGAGGGGGAAAGCCATATAGATGTCTTGAGGAGGAATATTCCAGAAGAGAAAATAACACGTGCAAAGGAATAGCTGAATATTTTTCCTAATATGTTTGAGGCCAATGTGATAGGAACAAAGTTAGTAATGGGGAAAAGTAGAAGAGATGAAGGAGGCCAGATTAAAGAAGGGTTTCAAGCCATGGCAAGCATGTTGGCTTTCACTCTAAGGTGGAAAGCAATCACAGACATTTTGATCAGGGGAGTGATAGCATATGCATACATTTTAAATGAATCATAGTCCTGTTGCATTTAGAACAGACTATGATGTATACACTGGCAGACCAGTTAGGAAACTTCAATAATTGAGATAAAGGTTAGTTTGACTTGGTTTTAGCAGAGGAAGAGTGGGAGTGGGGAAGTATTTGGACTCTGGATACGTTTTCAAGGCACTTAAATTAAATGTTGGTCATGAAAGAAAGAGAAGAGTCAAAGATGACCTTAAGGTTGTGGGCTTAAGCAGTTAGAAAGGTGAAGTTGTCCTGAACAAAAATAATATGTATAGTGCTTGGCCTACTGTGTAGTACATACCAACTGTTCCATAAAAACTGATTCCCTTCCCCAAAATTTGTAGGAAAAATGAAGGAGTTTTTCTTTATCTAATGTACTTGCATTCCTCTAACAAGTAAATAGAGTAATAAATAATGCTGTAGTAATAAATGWTATATTTAGCTAGATCCTTGGAATTCTGGTAAATCATTCCATCTCTTGTCTAAGAATTTTATTCCCTAACAAAAGAGAGAGGTGGTATTTTTCCACATGGCAATAACATAATAATGAGTAATGGCAACATATCGATGATAATAGTTTTTTTAAATCATAGGGGAAATTAACAAATTAATGTTTCATTTTAAGGAAATTATGACTTTTTAATGCCCCCCCCATCTGTTTCCCCCCCTTTCAGCATGCTCCCTTATGGCTGTTTAGCAACAGGAGATCGCTCTGGCCTCATTGAAGTTGTGAGCACCTCTGAAACAATTGCTGACATTCAGCTGAATAGTAGCAATGTGGCTGCTGCAGCAGCTTTCAACAAAGATGCCCTTCTGAACTGGCTGAAGGAATATAATTCTGGGTTAGTTGATTCTATTTAATCATCATTTTTCTATGCAAACATCCAAACAGATAATTCTTTTCCCAATAGAAATCATTGGTGTCTGAGAGGAAAAATTAGTTTTATAGATTGCTTCACTTCAGATTAGAACAAAATGACCTAAAATCTTATGARTGGTTATAATTGATTTCTACTTTATCTAAGTCAAATTTTATAAGCTCTGCAATGATATTCCACCTAGGAATTTAAGATGACATAGTGAAGTTTTTGTTTAAACATATCAGCTTTTGTAATTATGTGAATATATGAACCTAAGTAAGTTTATAGTAGATTAATTTTATGATAGAAGTAAATGAGTTTGTAGACTGTGACCTCTCTAAAAAAATGTAGTGCTTAGTTATGTGTTATTTATGGTGATGGTGTTGGACAAGCATTAATAAGTGAAGAGTTCCACAATTATTTATGGCTAAAGACTTCAAAATGAGATTCAGATGTTATCATTAGCATTGTCCAAGAACTTGTATGTGAGAATCAGTTTCTAAATTTTGATCTTTGTGGCCTTGTCTCCACAAGAGTCTATATTGCTCGCTTCCAATTGAGATCAGTGACTCAGATGGTGGAAACTACAATACTCAACTCTTCAACATGGAATTCTAGTCTTAGGTCAAAACTGACAATGTTCCTAAGCGCATTGTGATCCAACCAAAACCACAGTAGCCTGCCCTTTTATGCACATGAGCTTACCTCCATCCCTACTGAAACAAGCACCAACACCGCCCCCGCCCYCCACTACCCCCAGGACTCAGGAATTTGAATGGCTGAGCCCATACATCTAGTGTTGTTTTTTTTTTTCTTTTTAATATTTATTTTTTAGTTTTAGATGAGTACAATATCTTTATTTTATTTTTATGTGGTGCTGAGGATCAAACCCAGTGCCTCACACATACTAGGCAGGCACTCCACCATTTGTGCCACAACCCCAGCCCCTATATCTAGTGTTTTTAAGCTACCTGACTCCCCTGATTCTTGGCTGACCCACCCTGTGGTTTGGGTAGCTATGTATTGTAAGTTCTTTTCACAATTAAAAAAGTAACAGGTATGGTTTGGGTCTCATCCCATACATTTGAAAGCTGAATACCATTGAGGCTCCTACTTTTTCTCTTATTCAGGGATGACCTGGACAGAGCAATTGAGGAGTTTACCCTGTCTTGTGCTGGCTACTGTGTAGCTTCTTATGTCCTTGGGATTGGTGACAGACACAGTGACAACATCATGGTCAAAAAAACTGGCCAGGTGAGCTATACTGCTGGCTTTGCCAAGGGCCTCAGTGATATCAAATCATATCTTCATCTTTCCTCAATTTCCCTCATTTCATAACCATCTACTTCTTGTATTTGTTTGTTTCAAATTAGTTGGTTAAGCATTTACTTACAGAAGATGTGCTAGATGTATTGACTTCAAAAAATGTAGCCAGTGCTTTAGTTTAAAAAAAAAAAAAGTGGTAGAAACCACACTTGAGTCAGTTCTTTTAGAACACTGAACCTAATCATATGTGGGAATAGGGAGGAAAGTAGTATACRAATACTATTTGGAGGTATCTAAGGATACCACAGCTGGGTTAACTGTGAGGAAACTCTTTAGTTTCAAATGAATTTCCAAATGAAAAATTTCCTTTTTTTTTTTTAATTTAAGTGACTTAGGTTGTTTGTAAATTTTTTTTATATTAACAGACAGATGGATAATTTTTCAGTTTAGTCACCATTGGGATTCCTCAAACTAGAAGCATACCAGAATGAATATCTCTAGGTGACTATGTGAGTTTTGGCCATGAATGGAACACAGAATTTTATACCACATGGGAGATTTGGGTAGTTTTGGCTTGGGTTCTGAGAATTGAACCATGTGTCCCTACTTCAAAGGATTCCCTCAGACTTCAAGTTAATCAGACCAAACACTTTGGTTTGTCTACATTATTTTTTCCTGATACCTCTCTAAAGTAATAATAAGCAACAAGAAAAAAGTAGATAAACTCAAGAAATCAAAGGTGTTAGGGAAGAGATCACAGTGGATGAAAGACATAATAGATTTGGGAATGATAGAAAGTGAGATGAAGCAGCAGCAATGATTTAGCAATGACTGAAAAATGGGAACCTGAGTATTGGTAGGGTGTGGCTCAGCGGTAGAACGCTCGCCTAACACATGCAAGGCACTGGATTTGATCCTCAGCACCACATATGAATAAATAAATAAGTAAAATAAAGATATTGTGTCCAACTACAACTAAATGTGTGTGTGAAAAAGAAAGTCATGCCAGTCTAAGGAAAGCTATGAAATTGGAGGCACCAAGTACTGTTCAGGATGGGCATATGGGCAAGGTTAAAAATGGGATTGTGCAGCAGTTTTTATATGGAATAGTTTATTTGCTCAAATCCCCTTCCTTATCTGGAGAAGGACACAGAAGATTTATTTTCTGAAGGAACTTCTGATTAAAGGACACTAAGTTCTATAAAAGGCTGAGGGGAAGGTGCCATATTAAAAATGGGGCTAAGTTAAAAGCATACTAAATGTTGCAGTTTACAGCCACTTCCACTTGCTTTGCTACAGGAACACTGGCTATCAGGTTTCTATCCTTCTCCTCCACAAGACATGTAAGAAAATCTGATTGATTCCAGTGAAAAGATTCTTACAGTTGAGGTCTCTTCCCAAGCCCTCTTCAGGGAAGATCACTATTCAACAAACAAGCATAACTATTTACATGGAATTTTCCTTTAGCTTTTTAGCAACTCAAATATGAATGGTTAGCCAAGGACTAGCAGATATTTTTAAATTGACAAATAGAAATATATATATATATATCTCATAAATAACATGTTTTGAAATATATATGTTAAAAAAGAAATATGTATGTTATAGAATGACTAAATGAACTAATTAACATTATTTACTTATTGTGGTGATAGCCTTGAAATCTATTCTCAGTAATTTTCAGAAGTATGATATATTGTTGTTAACTGTAGTCACCATGTTGTATAGTAGCTCCCTTGAACTTATTCCCTCCTGTCTAACTGAAATTTTGTATCCTTCAACTTCCCACCTCCCACCCCAGGATTGAACCTACTATCTCATGCATGTTAAGCATGTGCCTTACCACTGAGCTACATTCCCAGCCCTTGGATTAGTAGACATTTGAAGGAAACTTCTACTGTGAAAGAGAGAGACCTCTATCAAGTGAGGGAAGAAGGACTCTAGGAAAATGGAGTAACTTCAGTTTAACAGATGATGATTTTTAAAATAGAAAAAAAGTAGATAGCATTGTATTATGAAATATAATGACTTCTTTTTTTTAATTAGAGAATAGAGGTCTTAAAAATAGGAACAAACAAAAAGTTAAAATTGGAACAAATGTAAGTGTGTTATATATGTTAATGAAGAATCTTCATGACAACTTTACAGCAAAGTAGTACTATCCCCATTTTATAGGTAGGAAAAATGAGTCAACGGAGTAGACATTCCAGGTTTTAAATCCTAGCAATTTGATTTAAAACACTATGCCTTAATGTCTATTTCTTCCCCAACCCCACTGCCGTGTGTGTGTGTGTGTGTGTGTGTGTGTGTGTGTGTGTGTGCGCGCGCTGTATTTATRCACAATATTGAAGTGATAGAGACTTAGTCCAGGGAGACTTAGTCCTATTAGTCCATCAGCCTAATAGTATTCCAGAAAGAAGTAATAGAGAAGAGTAAGGGAAGGAACTCCTAAGCAAATATAAAAAATGTTTCCCAGAGCTGATGTTCATGAAGATCCAGTCAACAGAGCACAAAACTTAACAATTTTCTTTGTACTTATAGTGGATGAAAAGATTCTTATTAAAACCCTTTTCAGTGCATCAGGCATAAAGAAAAGATTCTAAAACCTTTTCAGAGACCCAGGAAGCCAAATATCAGAGTTTAGGAATCAAAATGACTTTGTCTTATCAAAGCTAAATTGGAAACTTTAAGACGGTAAAAGCCTTTCTAATTTTCTAATTTTCAAGGAAAATGACTTCTAACTTAGAATTCTATAACCAGACTATCATACAAGTGTGAAGATGGAAGAAAGACATTTTCAAACATGCAAGTTCTCAAAATCTGTACCTCTTCCTTTCCTTTTTCCTTTTCCCTCCCCCTCCCCCCTCTCCCCCCTCCCCCTCCCCCCTCCCTCTCCTGCTGTTGGGGTCTTGTACATTGCCCAGGATGGCTTGACCTTGATCCTCCTGACTCAGCTTCCTGAATAAGTAGAATTACAGGCACATACCACCATGTTCAGCTTTCTCCTCTGCATCTTTTCTCAGGAGGCTACTGGATTAAGGACATGCACCAAGAGTTGAAACTAGTACTTAACTAAGGCAGTTTTTTCACCACAGGAAATGTTTGTCAGTATGTGAAGATATTTTGATTTATGTGTTTATTTTATATGTAATAATTATTTTTTCTTAGAGCTATATAGTTATATATAGTATTTGGGTTCATTCGACAAAATCATACATGCACGGAATTTAATTTCAGTTCACAGTGCCCCTTTTCCCTTCTATCCTCCCTCTCCTCCCCCATTCTCCTTCCCCTACTCTGTTAGATTTCCTTTTGCTTATCTATTTATTTATATTTGATTGGGTCTGTTTACTTAAAAGTGAAATTCTCTGGTATACTTATATGTGCATATAACATAATTTTTAAAGAATTATTCCACATTACCTTCCCTTCTCCATCCCTCCACTCTGCCTCTTATTCTCCTTCTATACTACTCATCTTCCCTTTATGATATTCTATGCTTTCCTCCTCCTTTCCTTTATTTTACTTTTTCACATATGAGAGAAAACATTTGAACTTTGATTTTTTGRGACTGGGAACATCACTTAGCATGATGTTCTCCATTGCCATAATTTCATTCTTCTTTATGGCTGAGTAGAAATCCACTGTGTATACATACCACAGTTTTTTTAATCCATTCACCTATTGATGGGCACCTGGATTGATTTCATAATTTAGCTATTGTGAATTGTGCTGCTATAAACATTGAGGTGGCTGTCTCGATACAGTATGCTGATTTTAGTTCTTTTGGGAAAATGCCAAGGAGTGGGATAGTGGATCATATGAAGATTGAACCCAGGGCCTTGTATGTGCTAGGCAAGCGCTCTACCGCTGAGCCACAACCCCAGCCCTTGWGTTTCTTCTTTTGAGAATTTTTTATTTAGTTCTTTTGYCCACTTATTGGTTGGGTTTATTTGAGGTTTTTTGTTTGTTTGTTTTATTTTTGATGTCAAGTTTTTTTAAGGTCTTTATATATTCTGAATATTAATCCCCTATTAGAGAATCTGCTGACAAAGTTTCTCTCCCATTCTATAGGTTCTGTCTTCACATTCTTAATTGTTTCCTTTCCTGTACTGAACTTTTTTGTTTGTTTGTTTTTTAATTTGTTTTAATTAGTTATACATGACAGTAGGTTGCATTTATACACTTTGATATACATAGATGGGATATAATTTCTCATTTTTCTGAGTGTACAGTTGCAGAATCATTGGTCATATAGTCACATATATTCATACAGTAATAATGTCTGTTTCATTCTACTATCTTTCCTATCCCCATATTCCCTTCACTCCCACCATTTCTAGGTGTCCCTCAATAGATGAATGGATAAAGAAAATGTAGTATGATATACTCATTGGAATATTACTCAGTTTTAAAGAAGAGTAAAATTATGACATTTGCCAGTAAATGGTTGGAGAATATTATGCTAAGCTAAATAAGCCAATCCCACAAAACCAAAAACAGAATGTTTTCTCTAATATGCGGATGCTAATTCACAATAAGCGGGGGCCACTAGGGAAGAATAGCGTTACCTTAGATGTTTGTTTTGATGGCATCCCACTTATTGATTTTTGGTTCTGTTTCTTATGGTTTGGGGGTTTTGATAAGAAAGTCTGTGCACCAATATGAGGGAGTGTTGACCCTATGTTTTTTTCTGGCAGTTGCCATGGTTTCTGGTCTAAGTCTTTGATCTATTTTGATGTGACTTTTGTGTAAGATGAGAGATAGGGATCTAGTTTCTACATAGAGCTATTCAGTTTTCCCAGCACCATTTGTTAAAAAGCCTGTCTTTTCTCCAAAATATATTTTTGGCACCTTTGTCAAATATCAGATGGCTGTAATTATGTGGATTTTTGTGTCTTCTATTCTGTTCAATTAGTCTGCATGTATATTTTTATGCCAATACCATGGTGTTTTTTGTTACTGTAGCTCTGTAGTATAATTTCAGATCAGAGTTGTGATGCCTCCTGCATCATCATTCTTACTCAGAATTGCTTTGGCCATTCTGAGTCTATTATTCTTCCAACTCAATTTAAGGATTGTTTTTTCTAATTCTGTGAAGAATGTCATTGGCATTTTGATGGTGATTGCATTGAATTTGTATATTGCTTTTGATAGTATGGCCATTTTGACAATACTAATTCTGCCTATCCAAGAACATASGAGGTCTTTCCATCTTTTAAGTTCTTTAGTTTCTTTTCTTACATCAGTGTTTTATAATTTTCATTGTAAAGTTCTTTTACCTCCCTGGTTAAATAAATTCTCAAGTTTTGTTTTGTTTTGTTTTTTATTTGTTTGTTTGTTTTKGTTTTGATTTTGGTTTTGAGATTATTGTGAATGAGATGGTTTCCTTTATTTCTTCCTTGGCGGAACCACTGTTGGAGTATAAGAAAGTTTTTGATTTATGGGTATTGAACTTGTATCCGGCTACTTTGCTGAACTCATTCATAAGGTCTAGAAATCTTCCCTTGGCGACTTTTGGGTCTTCTAGACATAAGATCATGTCATTTGGCAAACAGAGATAGTTCAACTTCTTTCCTATTTGCATCACTTTGATTTCCTTCTCTTGCCTGATCACTGGCTATTGTTAAAGAGCTATTATTGAGAAAGAGTGATAAGGTGAACAGCTTTGTCTTGTTCCTAATTTTAGAGGAAATACTTTTAGTTTTTTCTCCATTCAGTATGAGGTTGGCTTTGGATTTGTCATAAATAGCTTTTATGATGTTGAGGTAAGTTCCTTTTATCCCTCTCCAACATTTTTAACATGAAWGGGTGCTGGATTTTATTGAAGGCCTTTTTTGTATCTGTTGAGATGATCATGAGATTCTTGCCCTTAATTCTGTTTAAGTGGCAAATCACATTATTGATTTGTTTATATTCAACCAACCTTACATCTCTGGAATGAAACCTACTTGACTGTGGTGTATTATCTTTTTGATATGTTTTTGCATGTGATTTGCAAATATTTTATTAAGGATTTTTGCATCTATGTTCATCAGATATATGAGTATACAGTTTTCTTTCATCAATGCATCTTTAGTTTTGGTACCATGGTTATACTTACTTCATGGAATATATTTGGGAGTGTTCCCTCTCTTTCAATTCATGGAATAATTTGAGAAAGATGGGTGTTAATTCTTCTTTTGAGGTCTAGTAGCACTCAACTGAGATTCCGTCTGTTCTTGAGTTTTTGTTTTTGGAGGGCTTTTAATTGCTGTTCAGTTTCATTATTTTATATTGGTCTGTTTAGGTTTTCTGTGTCTTTATGGTTCAATTTGGGCAAGTCATATGTGTCTAGAAATTTGTCAATGTCTTCTAAATTTTCCAGTTTATTGATTATAAAATTTCAAAATAGGTTCTGATGATTATCTGATGATTTCAGAAGGGCCAGTGGTGATATCTCTTTTTTCATTTCTAATTTTATTGATTTGGGTCTTCTCTAGAATAGGGTCTAAAATTTGGGTCTTCTCATTTGAATAGATCTTTTGGGGGATCCTATAAGCCTCCAGTATGTGGATCTTTGTTTCATTTCGGATATGAGAAACGTTTTCTCTAACTATCTCATTGAAACTGTTCTCAATGCTTTTAGCTTGTATCTCCCTGTTCTCTTCCATCCCAACAATTCTCAGATTTGGTCTTCTGATGTTTTTCCAGAGTTTTTGTATATTCTGATCATGTTCAATAATTTTTCCCTGTATTGCATCCTATGTACTCAAGTTCATATACCCTGTTTTCAAGGGCTAAGGTTTTATTTTCTATGTAATCTAATCTGTTATTGATTGTGTCTTTCATTTCTGATTGGTTTCTGGTCACTGATTTCTTTTCATTGTTTCTATTTCTTTAATGAAGAAGTCTTATCATTTCCTGTTTGCTATCTCAATTCATTCCTTAGATCTTCTTTTACTTCATTGAACATTTTAATTCTCAGTATCAGTGGGATCCTTTTTTGGGGTATTGTGAATTTTGGGAGGAGATTTTTTTTTTTTTTTTTTTTTTTGCGTTTTTCCTAATGTTTTCTTTCAAAGGCCGTGGACTTGTGCATCAATTTAGATAGATTTATCTTCTTCTTTTTTTGCCTTCAATTCTGTTTAAGTGGCAAATCACATTTTTTGTTTTTTGTAATTATCTTTTTTGTTCTGGGGCTTCTCATTTTTGATATATGAATAGATGTCAAGGAGTGTGGGATGTGAGTTTCCTCTGATTGTTCCTCCTTGGGTTCTTGTTGGTTTGGAGTTTTTGTCTCCTCAGTGTTCTGAGTTGGAGTAATGTTAAGGCTCAGGCGGCTAGATTATGTGTGGGGTAAGTTTCACTGTTGTTTGGTTCAGGTGTATTTCTCAGCAGCAGGATCTCTAATCTTGGGGTGAGGGTGGATTTGCTTGTCAGTAGAGTACCCCTCGGTTTAATCCCCAGTACTGCAAAAGCAAACAACCCCAAAAAACACTGAATGCCAATTTAACCAGAATCTATGACAGTGTGCTGTATTCTGTAACATTATAGCACAGGGTACTAAATCTTTATTTTCCATAAGAATAATAATCTAAAATTAGAAAGTAAATATAAGTATAAAAATAATATTTAGAAAAATGGAGGCAGATACCAGGGAAAATGTGTGTAAGCATGGGGAGAAAGTACCTTCTGAGTGGTAGCGCTTAGGGTAAAGGAGGTAGTGGGGCATGTTTGTGCTCTTTGTTTTGTTTTCTAGAACTATTTGGCATTTTAAAAATCACTCATGTTGGGCTGGGGCTGTAGCTCGGGCAGAGCACTTGCCTTGCATGCGTGGGGCACTGGGTTTGATCTTCAGCACCACATAAAAATAAACAAATAAAATAAGGGCATGCTGTCCATCTAAAACTACATTTTTTTTAATCATGCATGTTTATTATTTGGGTGAATTTTTCTTTTAAAGATTCTCCTTTCCCATTGGGTTTATGCAATTTAAGATCAGTGTTCTTATGGAAAGTAAAAGACCTAAGAGTGTTAAAAATACTCTTCCCAAGTGGCCCAGTGGGCTCCACACAGAATGAGGGGTGGGTGTAGTGCATGGGAGTTGAGGGCTACAGAGATTTTTCCTTTCTTGTTTTTCTCTAGAAAAATGAGAGAAATTAAATCCCATTTGATTTTCAGCTCTTCCACATCGACTTTGGACACATTCTTGGAAATTTTAAATCTAAATTTGGCATTAAAAGAGAGAGAGTGCCTTTTATTCTTACTTATGATTTCATTCATGTCATTCAACAAGGAAAAACAGGAAACACAGAAAAGTTTGGCCGGTGAGTATTGCCTTTCTGTCAAAACTAAACATGTCTGGCATTTTGTCATCTGACCAGCAGAGTAACATTTGCTAACTGAGTTTGGGTCTGGGAGATATTCAGACAATAACAGGAGGCTTTGGGGTGGAGGAGTTTGCTTGTCAGATCCTTGTGCCAGTTCAGAAATGTTCAGGAAAAAAACAAAATGATAGAAATTTGAAATAAGTTACTATGTTTGACTCCAAGAGTATACCATCTTTTATCTGTTTCAGAAAATTATCTGAAGCTATTCAGATATTTGACAGTAAGATGCTGAGAGAACAGGAATTATAGATTTTACTCTCATTGTATGTAGAGAGTAGTGAGGGAACGAAAAGAAAAAAGAAAAAAAAAAACAAAAAAAAAAAGAGAAAAAAAAAAAAAGAGAGTAGTGAGGAGTCTGGGTTCTGGGAGAGACTTCATAATCTATTCCTTTCACTTGTGTGTTCCTAAACACATTACTTGTCTTTCTACCTTTGTTTCTTTAATCTCAAAATGTGGACAAAAGTAATTAAAGTTCAGGGCTGTTGTGGGGATTAGAGGTCTAAAATACAGACAGAATCCCAGTTTCTTTCCTGGTTTTTTCTGTGGCAAAATAAGGGGCATAGGAATGGATGGTCCCCTTGAATTACTGTCTTGAAGAAGAGAAAGAGTAGGGAAGGCAGATTACAGGGAGGAGCAGTGCAGAGGCACAGACACTGGTGTGGGGTGGAGGGGGCACACGTTAAAGAGATTAGTTTCTGGAGTAAAACCGTATAGGCAGAACCCAGAATTGTGTTCAGAAACTCTCATGGATTATAGTTATCACTAGTTTAATAATCAGTTCTTGTGTTCATGGAAAGTAAACAGCCTGCATTGTTACATTGCCTTTTGTCATAGAATTTCAATTTAGTTGTGGTTGTTTTGTTTTTTTTTAAGATATGCATGATTTTAGAAAACTCAGTTTATATAAATTTTAGTCCTAGGAACATATTCACAGAAGGAAAAATCAGCAATGAACTTTTATTTCAGTAGAAATGCCCCAGTTCCAATGAAAAGTCTAACAATGTCTTCTTTATGAAATGTGMTGTCTCCCCTCTAACACTGCTCATATGCTGCATCAACTGAAGGTTCCGCCAGTGTTGTGAAGATGCATATCTGATTTTACGCCGACACGGGAATCTCTTCATCACTCTCTTTGCACTGATGTTGACTGCAGGGCTTCCTGAGCTTACCTCTGTCAAGGATATACAGTATCTCAAGGTACAAACCCCTTCTCCTTGCATTTTGGTCTTTGTGGGCATGAAGGTCAGTAAGAGGTGTCTATTTCATTTAAATATTCCAAAGGGAGTAAAACAAAGCCCTTTCCTCAGATGGTCTTTAGCCAAGAGGAAAAGAATCTGAAAAGTTCACATGAAGGAGCAATTTTGAAAGTGGATCTTATAACTAGATGCTTTTCCCATCAGTAGAAGGGGCATTCAGAAGACATGCTGGGCAGTGACCTTCTACCCACACTGTGGAAGACCAGAAAGTAGTTAAGCACCTTGCTTTTCAACAGTGTGCCTTTTACTTGCCTTAAGTCCTCTTACTGGAAAAGTACCTGAGTATCTTGCAATAATTATAAGTTAATTTCATCTTCAAAAACCCTTTGGTGAGATAGATGTGGTGGTGCACACCTATAAGCCCAGTGGCTCAGGAGGCTGAGACAGGAGGATTGCAAGTTCAAGGTCAGTGATATAAGGAGGTCCTAAGCAACTTATTGAGATCCTTTCTCAAAATAAAAAGGACTGGGGGCATAGGGGGCCTGGGTTCAGTACCAAACAAAACACCCTTTGGTGAGGTCATCTTATCATGCTACCTTGTTATTTGTTCCCCATCCTGCAGACAATATCTAAGTAAAAACATGAGGTACTCTGCCTAATGTAGCTAGGGAAGTCGAGGCCAAGCCAACTTCTTGCAAAGTTTGCTGTTTGCACCTCTTAGATGAGGATATAAAATCAWACTTTTTCCCTTTCATTTTTAGGACTCTCTTGCCTTAGGGAAGAGTGAAGAAGAAGCACTCAAACAATTTAAGCAAAAATTTGATGAGGCGCTCAGGGAAAGCTGGACTACTAAAGTGAACTGGATGGCCCACACAGTTCGGAAGGACTACAGATCTTAACGATCAGCCTTTGCTCCTAATGTATTTTTAGTTTTCTTTTTCGTTTTGCWCTTGCACTAAATTGAATATGACCCTGCCAGAGATGTTATAAAGGGAATGAAATTTTGGAACTCAGTTAAATTAACAACACAGCATCCCGCAAATCCTAATCTGGGAAATTCCCGATGACCACCCTCTGCTTTCTGAATGCTTCCAAGATTCATCATGAATATGAGTCAACATTATGGATAATCATTTCCTGCTGACTTTGCACGCCAAGGAATGCTACTAGGGATTGTTTGATATATGTCTCTCTCTCTCTCTCTCTCTCTCTCTCTCTCTCTCTCTCTCTCTCTCTCT